AGTGTTGTTTGCTTGATATATTTTTTTCCATCCTTTGAGTTTTAGTTTGTTTGTGTCTTTAAGTCTAAAATGTGTCTCTTGTAGGAGGCATATGGATGGATCGTGTTTTTTTTTTTTTAATCCATTTTGCCACTCTGCCTTTTTACTAGTGCATTTAGTCCATTTACATGTAGCATAATTATTGACAGGTATGAGTTTAGTGCTGTCATTTTGATGTATTTTTTTGTGTTGTTGATAGTTTCTTTGTTCTACTTAATTTTCTGCACTTAGTCATTTTTCTTTATGTATTTTCTTTTCATCTTTTTCATTGTTGTTGATTTTGTATTTAGTGAGTCTTTATATTTTTCATCTTGATGTGTAGGATTGTTAGTTTCCTTTGTGTTTACCTTAATATTTACCTCTATTTTTCTGAGTTTAAACCAATCTTTTATTTCTTTATATCGCCTTGACTTCCTCTCCATATGAAAGATCTATGACGACGTTATTTAGTCCCTCTGTTTTCTTTTACTGTTGTCATCTTTTCCTTGTTGACATCCCTGTTTCTCTATTTTCAGTATTTTAGCTTTGATTTATTTCTGTGACTTCCCTATCTGGGTTGATATCTGGTTGTTCTGTCCTGTGTTCTAGTCTTGGGTTGTTATCTGATGTTATTGATTTTCTAACCATAGGACTTCCTTTAGTGTTTCTTATAATTTTGTTTTGGTTTTTACAAATTCCTTTAACTTCTGTTTATCTGGAAATGCCCTAATTTCACCATCATATTTGAGAGACAGTTTTTGCTAGATACATAATTCTTGGCTGGCGATTTTTTTCCTTGAAGGCTTTATATATGTCATCCCGTTGCCTTCTCGCCTGCATGGTTTCTGCTGAGTAGTCAGATCTTAGTCTTATTGACTCTCCTTTGTAGATGACTTTTTGTTTATCCCTAGATGCTCTTAAAATTCTCTCTTTATCTTTAGTTTTGGCAAATTTGATTATAATATGTCTTGGTGACTTTCTTTTGGGATCTACCTTGTGTGGGGTTCGATGAGCTTCTTGGATAGATATCGTCTCATCTTTTGCGATACCAAGGAAGTTTTCTGCCAACAAATCTTCAACAATTCTGTCTGTATTTTCTGTTATCCCCCCTGTTCTGGTACTCCAGTCACTCATAGGTTATTCCTCTTGATAGAGTCTCATATAATTCTTAGAGTTTCTTCATTTTTTAAATTCTTGTATCTGATTTTTCCTCAAATAAATTGGTGTCAAGTGCTTTATCTTCAGTCTCACTAATTCTGACTTCCGTTGCCTCAGTTCTTCTCCTGTGACTTCCTGTTGAGTTGTCTAATTCTGAAATTCTGTTGTTAATCTTTTGGATTTCTGTTTGCTCTTCTCTGTGGATTCTTGCAGTCTGTTAAGTTTGTCATTTTGCTCTTGTATAACCTTCTTAAGTTCCTCTGTTGTTTTGTCTGTGCGTTCCTTGCATTGTTCTGTGTTTTGTCTGATTTGGTTCCTGATCTCTTGAAGAGCCCTGTATATTAATCTTTTGAATTCTACCTCAGGTAATTCCAAGAAGTTATCTTCCTCCAGAAGGTTTCTTGGTTCTTTGTTTTGGTGGCTTGCTGAAGCCATCATGGTCTGCCTCTTTATGTGACTTGATGTTGACTGTTGTCTCTGAGCCATCAATAAATTATTATATTTATTTTATGTTTGCTTACTCTGTCCTAGCTTCTTGTTTTGTTTTGATATACCCAGATAGGCTGGTCATGTGAGCTAGTTTGATTATTGACATCTTTGAAATTCTCACATCCTGTCACCAGGTGGTTAGAGCTGTTACTAGGTATGTGAGCCCGGAGTCCTTTTCCTTTTCTTGTGTGGGTTCAGCTCAGGTGTCCTGGTTGTTGGTTGCTGTGTGTGTGGGTCAGCCTTTCACCTACAGTCCTAGATGGGCAGGGGTGATTGGAGTAGGCACAGGTATCTGGCTGCAGTAGGGGTTCATGTGCTGAGGAAGCAGGGGGTTGATGGCTTCCCCTGAGTGTCTGGGTGGAAGGCGTGTCCCTGTTCCCTAGAGTGAGTAGGTGGGTGAGTTTTGCAGCCGATGCTGTTAGCTATAAGAATTGGGAGGCATGAATTATTCTTGGACCTCTGTTGCGGGTGGCTAGGTGAAGTGGGTGGATCTACCAGTCCTCAGGCCCCTGATGTGGGTAGGTGAAGACCCTGCTTAATGGGCAGCGCAGTGTCAAATGTCATGAATCTGCCACTTTCCCTTATAGCTGATGCAATTGAAAATAGGCTTCAGGTATATACCCTGTTGTACTGTGTTAATGAGGGCCTATGCTGTTGAAATGGGCCCATATAGGTCTATGCAGGGGTGAAAGGCATTCAAACGATGTGGACCCCTTATGCCTGCCTAGGCAAAGGGGCTGTGCCTGCCCTGAGTTCCCGGCTTAGAGGAGCTGGCAGATTATTTTTTCCTGTTTGTTAATTTGTTCCCTCTCCAAAGCCGGGAGAATGGCTTAGGGTGTGTGACGGGTCCTACTTCTGGCCGAGGGTACTCAACACTCGCTGAAGCTGGCCCGGGACCTGGTGTAGAGCGGGGAGGGTGTAGGTAAATGGGAGAAAGGTTCTTCCCGAAGCAGGGTTTTTTTTGATCTGCACAGTAGGTTAGACGCTCGTACTTAACCTTTTGCCCGCCGATTGAGCACCGCTTCTTGCTGGTTCTGGAGGCTTGAGCAGACTCTCTGCTGATTGGTTTCTCCCGATGTGGAAAGGGCATCGTGAGCGCCACTGCTTGCCTCACCCTGCTCGCGCAAGCTAATCCTGCCTGCAGGGTTCCCGTGCCGGCCAGGTCAGTTCTGTCAACTCCTCGTTGCTTGTGAACCGTCTCTCCCTCACCCTGCTGCTCAGTCCGATTCTTCAACTTTGTTTGATGTTTAGGGCCCCTAGATTGTCATATATAATCAATTCACTTGTTTGTTCAGGTCTTTGTTGTAAGAGGGACCACAGGAAGTGTCTGACGACTCCATTGTCTTGGCCCCACCTCTGGAATTTTTTTTTTTTTTGAGGGGGTGGTAATTGCATTAAAATTATGAGCTCACTTTAGAAAATCGGCATCACAGTTGTAGGTAGAATGCCATTTTGTTTTAAACCAGATGTTTGTGACCTGAGTCCCACTTGGGGAATTGGGCTGGTTGCATGCCTATTATATTACTTAATATGTTCCTCTGCCCCCTGAATTTCCTGTAAACAGTTGGGTCTGGAGGTCTCATCGGACTTAGATTTGATTTTCGAGCCAGGGTTTTTTATATGTGGTGCATCGTTAGCGTGACAACTGTCCAGTGTGCCTGGGACTGAGGGGTTTCCTGGGATGTAGTAGTGTCAGTGCTAAACTGAGACAGCTGTATTTCCTGTTGTATAACATCAGGAGGCATAGTGTGTCTGGCCATCATTTTTTTGGTCTGTATGTGTGATGTTAAGATTGACTAGTGGTGTCAGGGTTGACAGCCTGTTCGATCACAGCAAAGTTCCCCATCAGTAGGTTCTTGGTTTGCCTGGGGCAGACCCAGTTCCCATTACTTGTCCCCAGTGTAATTATTAGTAGTGCTCCCTTCCGCCTCACACTTCCTGTCTTGGGTCACTTTCCTGGAAGCAGAGCCAGAGACAGGGATTCAGGTGCATGCGACTTAGTGAGAGAGGGCTGCTCCGGAAAACCCTGGACGGGAGAGGGAACAGGATGGAGGGGAGGAAACCCTTCCAGCAAGGTAAAGGCTGGCCTAGACTTGATCCATGGGGGATTCGGGAGCCATAGTTGCTTGGCAGACTTGCGCTATCCTTGAGGCAGGCTGCCAGCTCTTCCCCAACAGTCCCTCGTCGGGTGGGTCAGTGAGGGTCCTGGGTAAGAGGAGCAGTTGGGAGTCATTAGCAGCCAACAGCCATGGCAGTGACAGGGTGCTGGGCAGGGCGCCATGAGCGCTATTACACTGGTCGTCAGCCTTTGTCCACTCGGTGGTTTTAGCGACCATTGATGATCAGGAGATGCCATTTTATGTCCAGTTTAGCTGGAGAGGCTGGAGTTCACTGACGTCAAGATAGAGTGAAGGTTAATATTGCCTTGTTTCTGTGCCAGGTCTGCTTGCTCTACAACAAAGGGGAAGCTCTCTATGGCTACTGCAACCTCAAGGACAAATGCAACAAGTTCCACGTGTGCAAATCCTTTGTCAGGGGGGAGTGCAAGCTGCAGAACTGCAGACGGTCCCACCAGCTCATCCATGCCACTGCCCTCAAGGTGATCGAGGACCAGGGCCTGAACCTGCCCAGTGTCGTCAATTTCCAGATCATCGCCACGTACAAGCACATGAAGCTACACAATATGTTTGAGCATCAGGGTAAGAGCATCTGGGGTGGACAATGCCCTGTCAGCGCTGTAGGCTTGAGATTTCTCACTGCAGAGAACAGCGACTCGGCAGCCAGTCTGGGGAGAAAGCACTTCATGTGTTAATTGCCGCTTTGTCCTTTGGAAGCTTAGGATAGTCAGCATTTCATGACATAAAACCAGCTGACTGATTCATGGCAACCCCACGTGTGTCAGGGTAGAACTGCGCTCTGTAGGGTTTTCACTGGCTGATTTTCCGAAGTAGATCGCCAGGCCTTTCTTCCTGCTACCCTGTCTAGGGCCTGTCGCTGCCTTTGTCTGGTCTTGTTCAGTGGGTTTCTCCTAACCATGCAATAGTGGCTTTCTGCTTGCTGTTGATGTGTTTTTCTTTTTTTAACCCAGAAGATACAAACTGTCCAAATCCAGGGTGTTGGGAGTCTTGTCTGAGGTCTGGTTAGCTGGGCTGACACTCCCAGCATAAAACGAGAAAAGGGATGTCTTGGAAAAACTCACTTCTCTCTTTTCTTTGTAGACGATTCAGCTTCTGCTGCCAAGCCTGCCAAGGGCTCTGAGAAACAAGGCGTGCGCCCAGCTGGGGCTGCGGAGGCCGGCCCTCCGTTTTCTGCCCGGGCCGCCAAGGAGCCAGGACCAAGTAAACCCTAAAGGGTGTTGGTGAAATAAGGAGACACTTGTCCGGCTTGCAAGGTGTGAAAACGAGGAGCTTCTTTTGAGCTTTACTTTGCAACCATTCATTCGTTTAATCATTTATTGCTGTCAGTCCTAAGAACCGCCTCCCCTACCCCCTCCACAGGGGGTTCTGAGAATTAGAGAAGATGGAAAAGAGGAGCTATCTGATCTTGGGGATGAAAAGGAGGATGGGTGGCTGAGGATGAGCTGGACATTGAGTGGGCAGAGAGGGCTGAACCTGGATACAGATGGACTTGGTCCAGGGCGAGCCCAGAAGACAGCAGCTTCCCTGCAACCCGTGTGAGAGTCCCTGGTGGGGCAGGGGGCTGTTCATGGGGCAGGTTTCTGCGGACGATGCTCCGTGATCCCACCAACACTTTACGCCCATCTCACAGTTCACACTGGTAATCAGAGAGTGCAGACACCTCGTATTCCATTCGTTTTTACTTCATGCTGTTCCATAAGCACCTTCCCCCATTTGTTCATGCTCATCATACATAATCATTTTTGGGCATGGATGCACTTAATCAAGTTACTATGTCATTGTTTAACTGTTCCCTTAGCTAGGATAGTTAGATTCTTTCTAACAAATTTTGAATATCACTTTTCTTAAAGTCCCCAGGAGATTGAATTTCTGAATTATCCTTTTACTTAGCTTATACGTGCTAAGATGACACCATCTTTTAATTTGCGTCCTTTAAATCCGGGTGTGGTGAATTTTTTCTGTGTTCCTCATTTCCATATGTCTTTATTTTGTGCGTGTTTTGCATGTCCTTTTATTCCTGGGGCCCTTCATTGTGCTAGTGTGGGGTGGCCCTTAGTTAGGCTCTTTAATTTTCCTACGAGGCCGTCAACCATTCTGTGCTCCTCGATCTCCAACTTCCATGGCTGCGTCCTCAGCCAACATGACGGAACATACGGACCCTGGGCTCTCGGCCAACAGTACTACCTCAGTCTGTCTGCTTTCCATCCCCTGGGGAACGTTCACCAAAGCCCGGCTCCCGTAGCTGTATATTTGTCTAGTCCGCCTCTTCCTCTTTCCACGGATCAGGACGGACCACCAGATACCTACACACCCGAGACCTGTTGCCGTCGAGTTGGTTATGACTCATAGTGACCCTATAGGACAGAGTTGGGTTTCCAAGGCTGTAAATCTTTACAAGACAGACTGCTACATCTTTCTCCCGCTGAGCGGCTGGTGGGTTCGAACCGCTGACCTTTTACTAGGCAGCCAAATGCTTAACCATTTAGCCACCAGGGCTCCTTAGAATCGTGCACGCCTCACCCATATCATCGTGACCTCCCCCTCTGCCTCCTCTCCACCCCACCCACCCAGCTGCCTTCATCGAGGTACATTTAGATATTTTATTCCTGGTTTTCGTAAAAAGTTACCCCAGAGAAGCAGCTTCATGAAATCCTTTGCGGTGTTTGCTGTAATAATACTCCCCAAAGTCAATGTGTAACGTAGTTTTTTAAAAAAAATTTTAACCGTCCTTCAGTCACAGAACGTTTGAGAAATAGGGATAGTGTAGTGAGTTTCTCATGAAGCTAACTTTATTTAATTCAGAACAGTTTTTTACTGTGAGATGGTATCTTTTCTATGGGTGGGTGTTGTAAAACTTTTTTAAAATGAGAACTTGCTGTGTTTTCTGCTCCATGGACAGTGGGGGTCACGCTTCTGTTGACTTTTCACTTCGGCCGTCCACCACAGCGCTCCTGAAAGCCTCTATGTTCTGCGTATCTTTTCTCCTAGTGTGATTTCACCCTGGAGCTCATTTTTATAAAAAATTGTTTTTATAGTCTATTATTTTTATTTACATTTTATCATTTTTCCACGTGTGTTTTTGTTGTAACCGAAAAACCACACCCGTTGCCGTTAAGTTGGTTCCGACTCACGGCGACTCTGTAGGACAGAGCAGAACTGCCCCATAGGGTTTCCAAGGCTGGAAATCTTTTTTTTTTCATTGTACTTTAGATGAAAGTTTACAGAACAAACTAGTTTCTCATTAAACAGTTAGTACACATATTGTTTTATGACATTGGTTAACAACCCCATGATATGTCAGCACTTCCCCTTCTCGACCTTGGGTTCTCTATCACCAGCTTTCCTGTCCCCTCCTGCCTTCTAGTCCTTGCCCCTGGGCGGTTGTGCCCCTTTAGTCTCGTTTTGTCTTATGGGCCTGTCTAATCTTTAGCTGAAGGTGAACCTGGGGAGTGACTTCATTGCTGAGCTAAAAGGGTGTCCGGGGGCCATGCTCTGGGTTTCTCCAGTCCAAGGCTATAAATCTTTACGGAAGCAGACTGCCACATCGTTCTCCTTCAGAGTGGCTGGTGGGTTCCAACCACCGACCTTTCTGTGAGCAGCAGAGTGCCTAACCACGGCGCCACCAGGACTCCTTCCCATTTTTGTTGTAAGCCGTCTTAAAGCCTTAATGGAAACACTGTAGAGTATTAATACATATCCTTTCAACATTGGGAGAGTTGGTGAACTTTTACATTATTGTGTTCTTTTTATATATCTTATAATTTTGCTTTTATATATGAACTTATTGGCCCTTTGTAATACTTGTAGCAATATTTTCTTCAATTCTACAATACAGGTAGCCCCCAACTTAGAACAGGATTTCGTTCTGTCAACTCCGTCGTAGGTCGGTTCTGATGTAAGTTGAATACCTCATTTTTTTTTTCTTTTAGTTCTCATTATTATTGCCTTTTATCATCAGTATCTTTATAAATCTGATCTTTGTCTTTGGGGGTTGGCATGAGAATGATCACAGCAGCAAATAATGTGCTACAACATTGTATGTGGTACATGTTACTAATGGTAAGATGTACATTAAAAAAAAAAGGATGGTCATGGGTGCTGTTCATCGTTAACCCGAACACATGGCAAGCTGGGGACTGTGTTCTATTTTAATGTTAGTTCTGTTGGTATTCATGCTGTTAAAGTATTTTGTATAATAGAAGCTGTGTCTCTTTCTCGTATTTTCTTCTGATGACTCAGTTCTTAGAGAGCGATCATCACTCTAGAGTTGAGGTAAGTTTTCTTTAATCCTTTGGGAATTTACTGGGGCTCCTGTGTATCTGTAGGCTCCGACACGCGCTAGATCGAGTTACTAACTTCCTGTAGTCTCGCTCCTCCTTTTGTTTCCTCATTTTTGAGTGTCAGCACCATCCACCTGAGAACTCAGACCAAAAACTGAGAATTTTTGTCTTATTCTCTTCCTTCTCCTCGTCGCCTGTATCAGGTGGGCTCCCCAGGGTTGGAGGTTTTTTCCCCTCAAAAACCTCTCAAATATTTGTCCCCGTCTGCCCTTCCCTTCCCGCCCCCTCCACACCGCCCGGTGTCAGGCCTTCAGCATCTTGTGCGTTTATTCCACAGAGGCCTGACTGTGGTTTTCAGGATCTGTGCTGTGAGTGTTTCTTGGCACAGGTGCTGAGTGGGCCCCTATCACGTCAATAATAAAACCAAACTAAACCTGTTGCCTTCGAATTGACTCGTAGTGACCCTATAGGACGGAGTAGAACTGCCCCATAGGGTTTGCAAGGAGTGGCTGGTAGATTTGAACTGCCAACCTCTTGGTTAGCAGCCAAGCTCTTAACCACTGTGCCACCAGGGCTGCGTGATGGGGGTCCCATTCTAATTTTTGTTATCATTGGCTGTGTGGATTTCACTGCTCTCCCAGCCAGCAGTCTCAGCCCCTGCCTTCCATTCCACTGCCAGGTTGATCTTTTGAGATGCAGACCTAATCATTGCTGCTTTTCTTCACTGAACACCTTCATTGGTTCTCCATTGTGTAGGGAACCAGTTACCAGTTGCTGTCAAGTCAGTTCCCATTCATACTGACCCCATGGGTGTCAGAGTAGAGCTACTCTCCATAGGGTTTTCAATGGCTGATTTTTTGGAATCAGATCACCAGGCCTTTCTTCTGAGGCACCTATGGGTAGACTCAAGCCTGCAACCTAATAGTTGACTGAGTTAACAGTTTTTGCCACCCAGGGACTCTGAATGCGTAAGATAGGGTAAATTGGGTATTTTTATATATGTATTATTACTCAGTATGGGAATCTCTATTACTAGAACACTATTAATTTTTAAAATGTTTATCTTTCGGTAAATTGTCTTTGTTCTAATAGTTTTAGATAGCCTATTCTAAATATAAAATCACAGCTGCAAAAAGTTTGTATTTTGTAATGTGTTTCTTGTTTTGGTGTTAAATAAAATCGTGATTAAAAAGATAGTTGTTGATATTTCTTCATTAAATATGAAGTTAATTGTTGATTTTAATCAGAAACGTAAACATCCACAGGGGTCGGAAAGGGGAGTTAAATGGACGTGGTGAGCAGCACGGGGTATAAGAGAAATGAGGGAGTAAGGAGCACTAGGCAAAACTGTCCCATCTAAATAGGGCGGTGGCCTCTTGTTTCCATGTGGGAATGGCGGCCCAGTTTGCCATGTTTTTCCTAAGAGGCCAGAAATACAGATTTCTATAGGAAATTTTCCAGTTTTTAAATATTGACTTTAAATTTATTTTTAAAAGCGCATACCAATATGGTGTGCGCTAACCTACCTGCAGTTATGCGGTGGGGCATTTTATCTTATGACCCTCCGTGTTTTTAGATGCTGTACCCTTCCTTCCTCCCGGCTCCCCAGGGTGGCTTAACGATTAGGCACTCGGCTGCTAATTGAAAGGTTGGCAGTTTGAATCCACCCAGTGGCGCCTTGGAAGAAAGGCCTGGCAGTCTACTTCAGAAAAATCAGCCACTGAAAACTCTGTGAAGCACAGTTCTACTCTGACACACCCGGGGTCACCAGGAATCGACTCCACAGCCACTGGTTCGGCCTTTTTTTTTTTCCCTTCTTCCCTCAAAACCTGGCCAATTAGATTCTTCAAAATGTCGGCTTAGCTGGGAGGCCTTTCCTGACCCCAAGAGGGTAGTCTTCTTAGAGCGCTAGCCCAGCACGGACCACATTCATGGCCGTGGTTTGTGTTCTCATTCCCTGGCTTTGAGCACAAACGTTTGTTCTTCTTGGTAATGACCACTTGGTAACCAAAACCAAACAAACAATCCATTGCCTCGAGTTGACTCCGACTCATAGCAGCCCTATAGGACAGGGCAGAACTGCCCCACGGGGTTTCCAAGGAGCGGCTAGTGGATTCAAACTGCCGACCTCTTGGTTAGCAGCTGAGCTCTTAACCACTGCGCCACCAGGGCTTA